TCTTTCTTTCTTTCTTTCTTTCTTTCTTTCTTCCTTCCTTCCTTCCTTCCTTTCTTTCTCCCTCCCTCCTTCCCTCCTTTCTTTCTTTCTTTCTTTCTTTCTTTCTTTCTTTCTTTCTTCCTTCCTTCCTTCCTTCCTTCCTTTCCTTCTTTCTCCCTCCTTCCCTCCTTTCTTTCTCTCTCTCTCTCTCTCTCTCTCTTTCTTTCTTTCATGATTTGTTCATTTATGAGTTTCACTCATTGCTGATATGAAAATCTGATAATCACAAACAGCACATGAGAAGTGCAGACTATTTTGTTTATGACTACAATGCAATTGAGAAATAAGGGCCCAGAAAGATGACTTGGGACTCGGTTAAGAGTACACACACACACACACACACACACACACACACACGCGTGCGCGCCCCATAAAGATGCTTACCGCCAAGTTTGATGACCTGAACTTGACCTTTGACCTACATCCTCTCTCTTTCTAAATAAATAAATGTAAAAAATTAAATAAACCTTTAAAAAAGAATAAAGACACCCAGTCTGGGTATATGGCTCAGTGGGAGGGGATTACCTAGCATGCACCTTACCTAGCATGAGGCCTTGGGTTTAATCCTTAGTACCAAAAGGTACCCAAATATCCTCTTCACTCTGGTGCCTTTGCCTGTATCTGTGTGTATCTCTCGGCTACATAGTGTTATCAACCAAATGTTTCACTTTCCTTGCTGTAGGATATAATGAATGATGTTTCATTAACCACCCTTTTCCTTGCTGTAGGACATAATGATTATATCTGTCCAGCCACGAATCAGTGTACCATAGACAAGAACCGACGTAAGAGCTGCCAGGCTTGCCGGCTTCGCAAGTGTTACGAAGTAGGAATGGTCAAGTGTGGTGAGTGTTCGCTTCCCTTTTATTGTACGAGGTACCCCTGAAAGCCCAGGAACTGGAGACTCAGGCCTGCCTGAGAGGAGACTGAGGGAGTGGGAATTATCTTTAAGTATTTCTATCCATCAAAGTGCACCGGTTATTCTTTGCAGCTACAGATGGAGTTGGGAATACAGCTCAGTGGTTGGGCAAAGGGGAGGCCTCTGTGTAGGTTGGCCGACTTATAGCCACTGAAATGTTCTAATGGCTGGAGGTCCACCTGCCAACCAAGGGTGACATCCTGGCGTAATTGTCAGTGGTTAAGTGTGTGACAAGAAAGCAGAATGTACGGTGGATTATTCAGATGACTGTGGGGAAGATGCAGTTCTGTCTCTTCACCAGCTTTCTAGACTTAGGGGAACACTATATATGTACGTACATATGTATAATGTGTATATAAATACATATATATTTACATATATATGTTTCTGACTCATACATATATATGTATATGTACATATATGTCACAAATGCAATAGAACTATGAAAAGCACATACAGCACAGATTTTGACTGTGACTACATATACTTCTGTGAATGGACAAATGTAACTTATAGTCAACTGAGAGATTAAAGTTTATAACATACAAACACATATATTTTATGTATTTATCTTTTTTCTTTTAGTCTTTTTCTCTTTAAATTAAATAAATATGTTTATTTATATGTATAAATTTATACATGTAACTACAGTGTCTGCATTGCCTGGAGTTGTTCGGTCTCCTGGAACTGGAGTTACAGGTGGTTGTGGGCCACCCAGTGTGGGTGCTAGGAGCCAACCTTGGGTCTTTTGCAAGAGCAGCACATGCTTTTAACGACTGAGCCATCTCTCTAACCCCATAGCTTGCTGGTTTTGGAAACTGTTCTGCATACATTTTTTAATTTATGTATATTCACATTGGCTCTGCCTGTATTTATTTTTCTGGTAGCCACTGCTGTTTTGCCTGTAATTAACTTATAACTTCTCTCTATTTGAAAATCAAAAAAAAAAGTTCACCTTTTCTCTCTGATTATTTCTTAGTAGCTCTGCTTAAAAGTAATTTCTTAAAAATTATGTCTGTTTTGGATATGTGTGTGGGTACCTGAGGAGGCCACTGGAGTTGAAGGTCCAGGCAGCCCTGAGCAGCCAAATGTGGGTGCTTGGAGCCAAACTCAAGTGCTCTTAACCACGGAGCCATCTCTCCAGCCCCAGTACCCCTGCTCCCTCTTTAGTCCTTTTCTTTTTCTGTGTCCAGTGGGCTAGAGTGCCCACCAAATTTAGAAGTCCAACAGGATGTCTCTTAATTTTATCATGTTCTCTGGCTTAGTAGAATCAATGATACTCCCCACTCTGTGTGGGACATCCTGCTCACAGTGCTTGCCACTCTATGCGCTTCCCAAAGGTCTGTGTGGTAAGTCAAGACTGTTTCCCCTGGTGCCTCTATTAGGATACAGATGCCTCTATTCTCAAACAGCTTTTGAGACGTGAGGCATAGCCAGAAGTCTTTACGCCACTGAGGGTGTGCCCTTCAAGGGGATTTTGGGATTCTATTTTTCTTCTCTTTCTCTATTTTGCATCTTTGTCATGAGGTAGGTGAGGAGGTGGTTCCCTCTGCCCCAATACTGGCTTGCTACCATTGTCATCAAATGCTCACATCTGTTATTTAAAAGGATCATGTCTGCTTGAAACTTCTAGAACTGAGAACCAGTATAAACTTTTCCTCTTCATAAGCTCATTATATCTTACTTGTTACTGTAGCAGAAAACTGAATAACATACTCCAAGGTCCATGACCTCCCAGCATGCATTGGTTCCCTTCTGAAAGATATGTCTAAATATCTCTGCCTATAGATATATTATATATATGACATATATTATGTAGATATAAATATATCTATAAATATCTAAAAGATATTTCAGTCCCAACCACTCCAGTTATTTTTATATTAGAAACTAGTGGGCTTCTTTCCAAACCTATTTTTAATTATTGTTATAATATATAATAAAACATGAAATATATGTAAACATGAAATATGGGTAGGAAAAGACATCTATTTCCAGGAGAACCTAGTTGAAAGCTATGAACAAAAGTGCAAAGGACAATAAATAATTATTGAGTTGAAATGGGTGAGATTTGGGGATAAATCATAAACCTAACAAGATTCAGAATTTAAAGTGCCCTGGAAGTACCTAGGTTGTTCCTCTGTTGTTTTGTTTGGAAGGGCAGGTTAAAGAGCTATTTATTTTTATTTTATGCATATACATGAGGCCTGAGTATATGTGTGAGTGACTCCCTACAGTTAGAGATGGTTGTGATCCACCCAAGGTGAGTGCTGGAAACTGAACCTGAGTTCTCTGTAAGAGTAACATGCACTCCTAACTGCCAAGCCATCTCTCCAGTCCCTGTCACTTGGCTTTAGACACTGACCCTGGAAATCCCAAGATAGCGTATTACATATCTGTGTAGAAAAGAGACTAGACCAGTCGTTAGAGATGCTTACAAAGAAGGCCTTGGTCCTTTGATAAGTTATTACAGACAGATGTTTTCTGTTTTAGGTTAAGCAGAATTTTAAGATGTGTATGTATTTAGAAAATGATTCCCAGCTTAGTCTTTAGCTACATTACCGTATTGTCTGGGTTGGCCAGTCTTAGCCCCAACTTCAAGAGCTGGAGTCCGTAGGAAGCATCTTAGCTTCTTCACTTTTTGCTGACTGCTCGTTTAGCTCCAGCTCTCTCTCTAGCCCTTGGGTTTCTTATCTCAACAGCAGACTATCTGCTGTTTGGGTTTGAGAGGAGCAGTAAGCAGACATGTGGGAATCATGACATGATGTCTGGCCATCTCAGCTTCCCTTCGCTTTCCTCATGGGATAGTGTTTATGTGAATTCTGATTCTGACACAGTGTGGTTTCCCCAGGTGCAGTACAGAAAAGTAAAGAATTGTGGGCCAGGCATGGTAGCTCACACCTGTAATCTCAGTCCTTGGGAGGCTAAGGCAGGAGGGTTACTGTGTCTCCTAGTCTAGCTTGGACGGCATAATGAGACCCTGAAACAAAAACAAAACATGACAGGGGCTTGGAGGAGGCTTTCTAATCTCTTTGGAATTCCAGAAGATGTTCTGGAGGATGTCAAGGAGACGGGTGGATGTTCTGCCCTGCATGGAATGGAAAGACTTCTCAAGTTATTCATACTTCTCATTGCAGTGACAAATGTTTTCAAGGGAACAGTTGAAAGGAGGAAACACCATTTTGGCTGATGCTCTTAGAAGTTTCTGTCTATGGTCAGCTGGCTTGTTAGACCACTGGGAAGGCAGAAGCCTCATGGGGGAGGAGTGACTGGAGGGAAGCTGTTTACTTTATGGTGACCAGGAAGCAAGGAAGGGTTCAAGGGGCCAGGGACAAGCTATGCATTTCAGATAAGCACAAGCAAATCCCCTGACCAAACCTCACTTCCCCTGCCTCCCAGTAATGAAGTCATACCATGAATTCATCAAGAGATCAATCCAGGGACTAGAGAGATGGCTCAGAGGTTGAGAGCACTGACTACTCTTCCAGAGGTCCTGAGTTCAATTCCCAGCAACCACATGGTGGCACATAACCATCTATAATGATGTTTGGTGCCCTCTTCTGGTATGCAGAAATATATGCAGGCAGAATACTGTATACAATAAATAAATAAATAAATAAATAAACAAATAAATCTTTTTTTAAAAAAAGAAGATCAATCCATTGAAGAAGCCAGAGTCTTTGCAGCCTAGTTACCTCTTAACAGCGCCACCCACTGTAGACCAAACCTTCCAATGTGAGCCTTCTGGCGAGCACCTCATAGCCAAAGCATGTGAAAGGGGACTTACTATTTCTCTCGACTTAACTATATGAGTGTTTTGCCTTCACGGGTGCCTGTGTACCATGTTCATGCAGTGCCCATGTAGGTCAGAAGAAGTCATTAGATCCCCTAGAGCTGGAGTTACAGATGGTTGTGAGTCACCCTCCGGGAGCTGGGAACTGATACTGGGTCCTCTGCAAGAGCAGCAAGTGTCCTTAACCACTGCGCCTTTTCTCCAGGTCCTGTTCCTCCCTTTACTCCTGGCAGGTTTCTGCTTTTCTCTAAATCCTCTGTTCACATTTGTCCTTCTCTACTATCTTTAATTTTTTTAAACATATATACATATACATTTAAATTAAAGATTGTATAATCTCTCCCCTCCCCCTAAAAATCTTTGCATCTTTTGCTGTTGTTCTTTTACACACAGATACAGACAAACACACTGACACATAGACACACAGATATAGACACACACAGACACAAACACACAG